ATTTTTAATTTCCATGAAAACTGCTTATGCGCCACCATAGTATGGTAACCAAGATCGTCGTATCGAGATTTGTAATAAAGTATCAATGGTGGATTATTTGTAGACAGATCGTTGATGACACGAACATGATATGTGCGCAAATATTCGAAGTAATCCGGAGATGTTTCTAATGTTGAGGTTAATAAATAGACAAAGACTGATGCAACTAAATTTGTTAGCTTGTTTAGCCATGTACCTATGAAACATGCTGCTAGTTTTTTTCTTTGTTGGAATTTTTATCGAGAAATAAAATCTAAATTTTTATTGACTTCACTATCTTCACATTTAACAACTTAAAATGTTTTTAAATAAGATTATATCGAATTTCAAATTTTTTAAAAATAATATATCATAATTTAAAAAATAAAAATAAATTAAATTTTTTAAAAGATAAAATTCGACTAATAACATAATTTTTTAAAAATAAATATATTCTAAATTTAATTAAATATAAATTCTATTTAAATTTAAATTAATAAATAAAATAAATTATAATTTTTACATTTATTTTCGACACTCTCGATATTTCTTAGGTTCTCTCGCTAAAGTTTTTATAAGATAAATAATGTGTTTAATTTTGAAACTGAATTTGGAGAGGCAAATTTGCAATGTGGGTTACATATTATTTATATATTTATTTATGATGTAATTAATATCTGGTGTAATTTGAGTTTATACTTATGATGTAATTAATATCTGGTGTAATTTGAGTTTATATGAGTTAAATTTTGAAAGGAAGTTGACAAACGGCTGACATAATATGATGTCATATTTGATTTTTGATAATATTTTTCAGGCCCATCACCTCTGTTGAAGCCCATTAAAATCGGCCCACATTTGTTCGCTCACCATTACCTCCTCAGAAAACCCACCGCGGGCTGTGATTCTACTCCTTTGTTTGGTCTGATCCCTGAGGTTATTATCATCACCTTGGCCTCCTTCCTGCACCGCGAAGCGCCGACTGGATCAATTACTTATCCGATTTCGCTTGTCATCGTGACAAAACTGTCACCTTCGGTGGCCACTATTATAGTCTGAAGGACCGCTAGGAGTTGAAGCATTCAGTGCGTAAAATTCTTATCTCCTTTCTCCGAACATTTAAATGAAAATTTGACGATATTTTGTTTGCCTAATCGTTTTGCAGCTACGTCTTTAATGAGTCGGATTCAGTGATTTGCTTCTTCCTCTTTTTTTTTTTCCGCGCGTTTGTGTTGCTCAGTTGTCAATCGGTTTCCGGAGTGTTTGCTATGTTCCTCTCGAATGTCTTCTGTTAGTTTCATGAGTTGATATCTAGTGCCTTTGCTATGTACTCCTCCGGCTTATGTTCTTCTTGTCTCAACGAGATGTGGTGCTTGTTCATGTGTTTTTTTGGAATTTTTTTTTTTCAATTGGTAGATTAATCACGGATGTATTTGTGTTAGATATCCGGATATGGATGTCGCAATAGAGTAGGATTTGAAGAGCTTCTGTTTTCATGAAAAATCTGGATATGGCTATTGTACTATAGCAGGATTAAATCAGAGGTTTTGCCCTTGTTACACAAACCTTGACGACTTTCAAATGAATAGATATATGCACCGTTAGCTTTATGTTTGTTGGTGTTATTTTTCCAAAATAAATGTCTATAGTGCAGTATGTTGTAGAAACCATCTGATCTGGATTGTTATTCCATTTTAGTACACTGGCTTGAAATTCTTTGCTTCTAGTTTAGACAGGCGTATAATGCTTTGATTCTTCTAAGCAGTTATCTAATTATTATTTTTTTCTCCCTGTGGATAAAGCTGATAATAGAAAGTTTAAGGAAGTTGGAGAAAAATGCCATCTCTACAGACAGCGTTGCCTCCAGAACTTGCTAACAATGTGATTAGAGTTAGTATTATTTCTCCTATGTATTAGTTATTTACACTTTCAGCTACAAAAGTTTAGGATTCCTGACATTTTTTGTGCTCTAAATTCATCAGTTTCGATTGCAGCTTTACAGGGAATGCCTTCGAAGAGCCAAATACATTGGTCACCAGGTATTTAAACTCACTTTCCTCTTGTTTAGAAATTCATTTTGAGCCCAGCCGCCCTGCCCTGTTCAAATGTATTGATACTTAATCGAGTAAATATGCTCTCACACCCACACGCAAGCAACTTGAGGTCTCTTTCAGTTTAGTTAAATGTTAATGCCATGTAGACAGGTCTTTTGAATTGTCTTGATCAACTAACTGATGGTTCTTGAGTTTCACCTGAATGTTTTATTTGTGCAATAGATGATCAAAGTCTATAATAATGTGCGCCTTTTTGTTTGACATTTTCCATCAAATACTCTAATTGGATCAAGATGTTTTTCTAATCCTCTATGGCATTCAGTTATCAAGTATGCCTTTGGCATGAAAATGAACGAAGTCCAAGATTTCCCATGGGATTCTCTAGTTGGAATGTTTTCTATATTGTGCCGTCCTTCACTTGCTCCTGACTAATCCATTAACATCTTTGAAATGAATTGGTGTGTGCATAGGTACATTTAATTGATTGCTATTAGTTTTCTAAAAAACATGTCTATGGTCATGCTATTAAGAGATTACCTACATGTGCCAAGTTTATAGTTCTAAATCTTGGATGTTATATAATTTCTAGACAAGAGTCAGCAATAAGCAACATTTCAGATCCTTTGCTTGGAACAAATAAACAATAAATTTCATCTGTCAATAATTAGAAGGAATATGTTTGCAATATAAATCAGAATAATTTAAACATTTTCTGGAATTCAATTAATTCATCACAAGGAGCAATACAAACAATTATGTAAAACATGTTTCAGGTCCTTCTCTATTCAAATGCTTAAGTCCATTTCCACATTTAATTAACTTTGATGGAAATTGAATTCACTTGCTGAATTTCATTTGGAATTCATGTCATAATAAACTTTGAGCTTTTAATAATATTTCTACACAAATCTATGGTTTTATAAATGAATTCCATGTTTCTTATCAAATTCATTTGTTCCAAATGCGGTGACAGACTGCAATTCACACTGTTAGTTACCAAGTGATGAAAAAGATTTTGCAAAGGGATAGAAAGGTTTGATCTGACATTTAGTCTGATTATAGAATCATTTGAGGAATATTTGTTGAGAATGCCGTGGACAATGAGTAATTTTGTGCTTCAGGAATTCAGCATCTTTAGATACCTCAGAATATTCCTTGTGAGATCTAAGCTTCTTGCAATCACATGAAGATACATAGGGTATTAATTTACCATTCATTGTGCAGCAACATAACACGGCGATGGTTGTTGATATGGTGAGGCAGCAATTCAAAAGACACATGCATGAGACTGATCCAGAGAAGATTCAAAAGTTAAAGGATGAGTGAGTTCTATATTTCGTTCTTACTCAATTTTTTTGCATTCCTGTTTCCTGTTTCAAGAACGTGCCTCAGTGATTTGCTTTTCTTTTTGATCCAGACCTTCTAATATCCTTTTTTCATGTCTTTCTTCTGATGGTGGTGGCACATGGTAAACTGCTAAATGTATATCTTTATTTACAGAAAGTCTCTGTGTTTCTTTCTTGTTTTCCAGTGCGGCAAGGGGACTTATAAACCACATATTGCATGAGTCAGAGAAGATGTCTGGACGGAAATTTAGCAAGAGCTCATGATGTTGTCAAGTGCTTGGCTGGGGAACACCTATGGTGTATGAGTCAAAGTTTGACTGTTAAGAACATGACAGTCAACAAAGATTTGGGTGTTTCTCTTATGCTTATTTTTGCCTTTCATCCTCCGAGTAGTTGGCGAAACTTCTGTTTATGAAATTAACTTTGTGTGGCACACTTCTTAGGTCCCACTCTTTGTCTTACAGGTTGAAGCAATAGTAATGCACAATAATTTGGCGAAAGCAAGTCAGGCTCATTCTAAGATGTGAAGGTCATTCAGGTTTTTAACAAGACCCATGTTGTTTACTTCTCTACCTTCAAGATGAATGTCTGAACATCATTGGCTTCCCCCAGGCTTCTTTTATTTTAACCCTTTTCTGAGTCTCCCACGGTGGAATTTGGTTTTATGTGCTTCCAAATTGAAATGGAAAATATTTTATATGTATTTTAATAATAATAATAATAAATAAGAATGATACACAACAAATCCTATACTATCTTTAGTTTCTTGTGTCACGATTGATACAGACAAATGAAGGAACATTATCAGTTGATGTTAGATTATAGATCTTACCATGGTGGAAATATGAAGATATGATATTTCACAACAAAAGAAGCAAACATCAAGAATTAAAAAATAATAATAATAAAGCAAACAACTAAGATGTTATTCCAGATTTCACAGCAAATTTCTTCCATCTAAAGACTAGTTTACCTATATTTTCTTCGTCTTCTTCATCTTCTTCAACTATACTGTAACCGGCCGAGAAATTCACAGTTGACACTTGACATGTCTAAGAGTTCTAGCCACTTTTTCCCAGATTAGACATTCTTGCTTCTCCATTTTTTGGACTGAATGGCCCTCTTCCACTAGACCAGGGATTCTGATTCCCCCTTAATTCACTGACTCGTGGGCTGAACACCTTATCTGGACTCTGAAGGCTTTTGAATTCTTTGGCTGGGGTTGCAGTAGAGCTTGTGAGCTTGAGACTACACATGCGTCTAATCTCACCCCGGCTTCGAGTAATCATTCCATCTAAAGCTTCTCCATCGTCCGCAAATGAAGTCGATCGACTTATCTGCACCTCCTGCTTTGAAAAAACAAAGTAAGCATGAAATATGAGTTGCAATTTTATGTCCTATGGTAATTGAGTAGTTCAAGTCGATGTCCGAACTGAACCAAACAGACCGCTGAAGTCACTGCTCTTTTTAATAATTGAGGTTGTATAATTCAAAATGTGAATTGGAAATATTAGCTTATAGGAGGCCTCTGTTTCTTTCAAAACTGTATCGTGTAACATGCATGGTTATGCATATCGATCCGGTACCTTTTAGTAGTTTTATTCCCTGGATATATCCGTTCTAGTATGTAAAATAGACCATTGAATGCAGTTAGGTTACTAAGGAGAGGAAGTAGTGCAGAATGAAGAACATACAGTTCCTCGGTTGAACGACAAAGCTGGTGCTTCTTCGTACTCTGCTGCATCAAGATCTTGAAGGTGTGCCCCTTTGAAGAACTTAGGCAAAATATATTGTCTCACAGGAACTAAAAGCATGATCATCAAAGGGAAAAGAACCCCAGCAATTGGAATCCATGTTATCCCAAAACAAACGAGCAAGTAAGCAGCCTGGAAGACTGTAAAGACTGCAATTGTCTTGAAAGGCACAGTTTCGACAAAAGTTGCATGGTATTCTTCCAATACTCTGAAACAAAGTATTATAAAAGTAGAGTATGCAGAAAAGTCAGAAATTGGTTGTTTTGTCACTCAGACAGCTGATTATGAAATTAGATAAATAGATAGATAGACAGATGGAGAGAGAGAGAGAGAGAGAGAAAGAGAGTACTTGTATCTTCGGCTTGGAGCAGTGAATAGCAGTAAGATTCGTTCCCAGAACTGGTTGCCCGGTAGGCTTTCAATTGCCATAAAGGCAAAATAGCCCCAGAGTACAGAAGTCGGAATCTTTTTAATCAAAGGCATAGCTGCAACACATCCTCCGACCATCACAGCTTGAAGCAAGTTACTAAGACGCTGCTCTTTTACCTCAACAGGTAATAAATCATCAATCTCCTTCTCTACATCAAATACTGTCTCATCAATCGGTGCATTAATGTTACCCATGCTTGAAGCCATTTGAATGGTCGACTCCTTCAAGTCCTTTAGCCCCTGTCCACAAACAAGTTTTGGTGTGTTCAGGCTGTATCTTTTCTGGTTATTGTCATGATATTGAGTCACCAATTGATATGTCCCAAGGGAAAAAAGTAAAGATTTCAACGATCACTGTCATTTCAAATCACGTAGATTCATGTTGCTCAGAGTTCTACTCTGACTTTTCATAGAAAGAATGTTTGTTATGGTTCTGAATTTTGAAGAAAAAAAAATTATGCCATTTACCTGAGCAGAAGGTTCCTGGTAAATAAGCGGAGTCTGCATTTGTTGGTATGCCTCCTGCATGCTCCCATAGACTTGTCCCAAGCTTGCATTCATTCCCATACATTTGCGTGCTGTTGCCACTAGCCGATTACGAAGTAACTGTACATCGGAAAGTATGCCAAAATGCACAACTGCATGAGTTTGTGGCTACATGCTTAAACATCCACATGCAGTGCAAGAAATATGACTGCGGTACTTGAACAAATCATTACAGACAACCTTTTTTCATTAAACATATAAAAAACCTTTAAGTTTCAGTTCAGTTATCTGCCCACCTGGTGCTTCAGTGTGGCTAAACTCTTTGTATGCATTGGAGATTGTGGAATGACACCATTGGATGGAGGGATTCCAATGAGACCACAAAAAATGGTCTGCAACACAGTTCAAATTACAGATGTTACTGAAGTTAAATTGCAGGAAGGAATAAGATATTCTATCTATCATCAAACAGAAAAGTTAATGCTGGACATTAGAAAAAGAGAGAAATGTATGAAAGGGTATGTGCATACCAGGAAACCCAGAAGAAGTAAATCATAATGAAATGAAGGTGGTTTTCTTAAATTGAATTCTTTCTGCTGAGCAAGTTGAGATGCTACACTATGGTCAAAATAGTAGAGAACAGCGATCATTGTTGCTGGAACAAAAGCTCCAATTATGTAAAAGACAGGCACATCCAGCATATCCTGTTGGTTTTTACATTAGCTATTTTCGTATTAGAGATACGGTTCAGTCATGAAGAATTGAAAACAGCATCAACTGAAACCAAGGAAAAAATATAAAGTGCTCATGTGGCCTTGCCTTCATAACAGTCCAGTTCTCATATGCACCTGGTGACCATGGATTGGGACTAAAGAGGCGTCTAGGGATTCCTTTTGGAATACTTCCAGCTGGTAGATATGAAGTTCCAGTCCAGACTAGAACCATCAATGGCACACCATAATCTGCCACCAAACCTCGCAGCCATCCTGTAAAATAGGTTCAAGTTCCATTTTCAGAAAGATCTCTGAAGAAAATCTGGATAACAAAAAATGAATCCTGTAGCTGGATTTTGCAGAATCATCAGTGTTATCTCTATTTTCGCTTTGAGTCTTTAATGTTCTAGTAGGCCTTTCACCTCACTCTTATAAACCGCAGGGAAATTTATTCTGCAAAAACCAATCACATCCCATGTTTGGTCTTTCACTTCCTGATATTCTTAAAACAACACAAGATCGTGGGGAGAATAGCAATCTGAAGGTAGTACATTGGTATTACCTTAGTTTAGTTAAACTCTTCACCGGGGCAAATAGACTCAAGAAAAACTTGGTGGACAAGGATAAAATAAAAATTGATGGCCAGTGTTCCACAAACAAATTTGCAAATAAAAAGGCTTTTGTTATTTCCTTTTGGATGTGCATACTTTCTAGTAAATAACTATGAAATTCATTCAAAAGTTTAATTTCAATAAACTTACCAGATCCATACCGCCATGATCTTGCTTTTCGGCTTCTTAATGCAGTAAGCAGAAGGCCGAAAGACAAAACTAAAGCAAACATTCCGTTTGCAAATCTCCAGGAAGGTTGAAACTCAATCAGCCTTGGATTCTCTCTTTCAGGAATGCGAAACTCATCAACAAGTCCCTGAAGAATGCAATTTTTAACAACTATCTTTAGAAGCAAACCACTTTGGTACTCACCATAGAGAACCAAAAATTCAATGGTCATAAATTTTCTTAAGCATGGACAAGTAATGGAGAGAGAGAGAACAAAATCAGAAAAATAGTCTTCAAATAAGATTGAATAGCCAAAAAAAAAAAAAAAGAAAAACAAATGTTTATCTTACTTTGATAGCTTGCTGCATGAAAAGCATTGCAATAAGAAGTCCAAACAATTCCCCAGCAAGGCGAGTAAATCTATTGATAATGGAGCAAGCTCCTAAGATAGCAAATAAGAACAACAAGAGTGCAGTCCACACATTAACCCTGCCAATGGAAGTAGTATAGTAAATATTTTAAAAGGTGAATGAAGACTAAAATTTTTGGTGGAGCACAACCAGATATCTAGAGATAAATGTCAAGATACAAAAACAGTATATCGATTTTTCTGAGAAAAATAAGAAGATACCATCCAGCCCATGCCAGAAAGAGCTTTGATCCCAAATCTGGTCTATTTTTCGCAAAGTTGAACATGAATGTGTACATAATTACTGTTGGTTCTGCAACGCCAAGAATCAATAGAGGCTGTCCGCCTATAATAGAGTGAATAATCCCACATAACGCAGTAGATGCTAATGTTTGAACAGCAGTGAGAACTCCATCTGTTAACGAAAACACAAGCTTATTTAACTTCAGCAGCCATATGTCTACATCAACAAATGTCTTCCAATTTTATCACATAGTTCATTAATATTATTACAAGTTCAACCAATGTCACATGTACACAGTTTCAGTGAAAAATGAGTGAAAAAATTTGACAAGTGCGGTAACAATACCCGTATCTCTTTCCAATTGCTCTCCAAATGAAATAACCGGAATCGCTGATGCAAAAAATATATATGTGGTAGGAGCCAAAATCCTATAAGCAAAAAAATGAATGATCAATTCAAATCATCTTATAATTACAACAGAAATAAGTATCCTCTTTAGCGGAACCAGGAGAAAGTTAAACATATATACCTGAATCCAGCCCTCAGACCACTAGTCCAATCTTGCTTGTAACACATCAACCTCCCTTGAAGATCATTTTTTATTCCACGAAACGGCACGAAGCTCTCTTCCATTGTTTAGTATCAAAAAATTACACCTTTATAGCTTCTTTAATCCTCTCAAGTACGAGAATCAAACACCAAGTTGTCAGCTAAGAATAGCATTCAAGGTGAACCGTTTCATTAAAGACACAAATCAATGAGATTGGCACTGAAGGAAATAATATTGAAATCTGTTAGCATGGAGATCGTCATAATCAGAACGAAAAGATAAAAAAAGTACATGGTGGCGCAAAGTAACATATACAGAGAAAGCAAGATCTGAGCTAAGAATTACCCAGAATAGAAAAATAGAAGCAGCATTGCATCATTAAACAGGAAAAACTTAGCAAATTATCCAGGTTTGAACACCAAAAAGAAGAACATTTATAAGCGTCGAATGATTAAGCTCAAACGAACAGGACAGACCCACATTTCCATTGTTGAGACATTATTTTACTTCTTCAAGCAATGGAGACATACAGAGTAATCTCGTGGGAAGGCCCCATATATATAAGCCGGAAAAGGGTATTAGAAAAGGCAAGGAGTAGTCTGTAGATTTGATGCGACGAGGCGTGTGAGTCAAAAGGGATTGAAAAGAACATCACTATCAGTGCTCAACAGCCTAAAGTAAAATATACTGTAAAAGCTTATACAATAAAGCAGCAAGCACAAACTGAGATATGAATAAGTATAAAAATATTAGATTCAAAGCAGATGCATTGCAGAATACTTACCAACCCAAAGAACCGAAAATGGCCGAAATGAGTGAAAATGCAGAGCTCTGTAAGAGATTTGAGAGAGAAAAGATGTTGTGGGCAGGCGGGGGGGTGGCGACGAAACGGGTGCCAGTCAATGACAAGCTGGCCTGGAAAAAAGTGTCCAAGGCAGCTCCTGTGGTTTATACAGAAAAAAAAAAAAATACATATACATATATATATTTGCTGCTGCAAGTTATATGGGTTACGTAGTAGGATTTGAATATTATATCCTAATCTGTGGAAAAACTTATCTCTATTTTTGTATCTGGGAGCAAAAATATTATCTTCCTGAGTATGATGGCGCATTTAGTGTTCCATGGATTCTTTAAAAATGAATTTTTTTAAAAAAATTATATAATAACTAAAGTATACCCAAGAAGAAGAAAGCAATTATCTCTGTGTGTGTGTGTATATATATATACATACATATTATATTGTATTCAAACAGTGTCGTGATTATTATTTATTATCTGGTTAACGCGTTTATTCTCACTCATGTTTGAAACCTAACACGCATACAGAATTTAATCAACTCCATTAATTTAGCTATTACTAAAATCATTACCCTTTGAATTTATTAAGAAAACTATAATACCAATTACGGTATAATAATTATGGTAGTAAATGAAGCACCGAATGTTTCTTCTTCTTACAGTGAACTGTGAAAATGCAGACGTTAAGAAAGCCGAGATCCTCTGCGGACGGGAGCACGCGACAAAAACATCAATCACCGATGCATCTGATCCAGCAGTGGTGGGTCCCAATCAAATTATAATAATCAAAGATTAGAAAGGATGGAAGTAAATTTGGCTGCCCAACACTTCCCACCCAAAAGAAAAATTATTTTAAAATAAATTGTAATGCACTCCATAATTCTTCAAATCTTCTAAATTATTTATATTATTGTTGACTGTTATATATATATATATAAATTATGCATGTAAAAATACAAATAATAAAATAATTTAGTTATGTCAATATGAATTTTTGTGATTATTTTCTATATAGTATTTAAGCCAAAAGATCTAATTTGTGAGTAAATATATAAGTTTTTTTTTTCTTTCAAATAATTAAAAATAATGATTTTTTTTTTTCAAGAGATGAAAAGAGATTTGTGGGTATTGAAAGAAAGCATATGTATATATATATATATAGGTTTGTTTCTTTGGTGAAGGTGTGCAATATAAATAGTTGGGGTTCAATCTTTTTGGGGGTGTGATTGGGAATTAAATGTTGAAGAAAAAAACAAAACAATCAAAGTAAAGCTTTTAAAAGATAAACAGTTTTGTCCAAACACCCTTTTGCTTTTTAAGCCTTCATATCATTTCAACCCATTAGGCTACAACTAGGAAGGTGACATCCCTCCCTCCTTAAAATTTATTTAATCATCAAAAGTTTTTAACTTTTTTCTTTTCCGATTTAAAATTTTTATTTCGTTATAACTACTCTAATTAAGAAAATTGAACTGTTAAAGAAATATGTTTTTAATCTGAATACGCTTCGATTTACTAAAATCAAAACTAACTCGATCACTGCAGTCTCATCAATATACTAATTAGAAAGATTAAACTCATACAGAATACACACAACAAGTGTGTAGTTTTGTAATCTGTGTTTGTCCTCCGGTTGCTTTGCGTGTGAGTGTTTGCTTGTGTTGTGTGTGTGGGGGTTGATTGTATAGTCTATGCGTTTGAGATAGTGAAGGAGAAGGGAAATTTCATACCACAAAATTGTTGTTGTTAATAATTAGCAGGGGATGGTACTCCTCACCTTCTTCCCATCTTGTTTTTTCCTTTTCAAATTTTTTGGTTCATGGCAAATATTGAAAGAGAGGTCAAGATTCATTTCCATTCTCAATCATTTTGTCTCGCACCAAGCTTATTTCTCATTATTGACAAGCTACTTAATACTCTGTACCGACTTAAATAAGAACATGTCTGATTTATGTAAATTCATCAGAAAGGTACCAAACAAAAACACACTCCAGATCTATCATAATTCACAAACACCCACTTTAGCAAAAGACAAGCTTATCTCTCTAACAAAAGTATACCTTGTCTTGTCACTTTACCAATATAATAATGCATTGACTCCACTCTGTCTTGGTTATGCAATTATTCAATGCATCACTGTTTCTTATATTTGATATTGCTACCAACAACTTTTGATGTAAAATTCATCAATGGATCAGGGATAAGCTATTACATTTTCAGTATGTAAAAAGAATTTAAACTAGTTCATCAAAGTCAACCAAAACTATTATGTAAATAAAACTACAAAAAGACATTTCCCTCTAAATTATTCTCCAAGTTCACTGATCTTCCTAACTCATTTGATAATATGTTCTATAGTTTATAATAATTCTAAACATAAACATATATATTTACGGATGAATTTAATATGGTAAGTTTCCTTTTCCCTGCAAGTAAAAGCTTTTCCTGAACTAAATACATATATTATTAGCATATGCGAAATGCACACAGTACCAAACACAATTTATCAGGGAAATCTAGAAACAGCACTGCAACCACGAATCACAAGACATCAAACAATTGTGCTTTAAAATTTAAGACTTTTCAATAATGTGAAGACTATGATGAAGCTTTAGACACACATAAACACACTAGCACACTCAAAAACAATCGTCCTCAGAAGAAATAAATAAATCAGGCAAAACTCCAACTTATACTTCTTCTGGAACTAACCCAGGTTCTACTGAAAATAATGACCAAACAATCTCCGTGGGTGTTTTTTCCTTTTACGTGAATTTTTTGAGAAACCGGGACCGAACTCAGCACTAATTTAGTTATTTTTCATTAATTAGTTATGTTAATCACTATTTATGAACAAAAAGAGATGCCAGGGCCTTACCTTTCTCGATAAATGTTAAAAGTCTGGTATTCCAAGACATTGTGATAAAGAAAACCTGTCACCTTTTTCTTTCTGTGCTGTCCCTTACACGTTGTATAACACGGACAGACTCATAGTACAAAGAGAAGTCCAAACTTGGTGATCTGTCACCAGAAGCAGCCATTTTAGAACTGCCTTTGGACTGGGAGCATGGATTCTGACATATGATAAAGTCAAAAGTGCCAAATTTCTCCATCAGACTCTCCAGTCTGTTAATCGTTAAGCTCTGAATATCACTTATCTGCACCAATTCCCCAGTTTGGCCAGAACTATGCCACCAACTCTTGAGAATTCTTTGCTTCACTTCAGAAGTCTCTATTGAGACAACACGTTTCAAATGGATACCAAGTCGATGCAATGCCACCTCTGCTCCACCAATACCGCTGAAGATTGATAGCACTGTTAATCCTCCTGGAAACAATGACTTCAAAACAGAGAGATGATATCCCAAAGTGTCTGTCTGGAAGCAGTGTTCGAGTAATTGAAGTCTTTCTGCTAGACTCATCTCGGTAGATCTTGTGTGATTTACT